ACGCCGAAGGCGTACGGAACACTGTTACCTTCCCACCAAAGGTGGTTCCCATTTTTCTACTTGCATTTTTTACATGCTTTCGAACTGCTAGGTTGGCAGAAGCTGGGACAAGTCACGGGAGCTCACTCCGTTACGCGGCGCTAGGGATTCAAACTGCCGACCTTTCGAATCGACAAGCTCAACGTCTTAGCCACTGAGCCGCCGCGTCCCTTAATCCACCATTAATAGAGCTTTTTTTTAAAAAAAACACCAGGTGTTTCCAAAATGCAAACTTTGGGACTATGTGCAAATAATTGGGAGTATCTTTTAGGGCTGCACACATCTGGAAATGACCTCTTGACCCTAACATTTTAGAGTCCCTGACTAGCATTTCTAGAATCATGAAATGGCACCATCCATTTCAATCGCTTACAATATGAATCAACCAAGGTCATAAAGTGAGTGAAATACTTACCAAATCCAGGGCCGATCCACCACCTAAATATTCCATTATTATCCACAACTTTGTGCCCTAAAAGGGAATATGGGTAAAAAGTTAGCGGTTTTCCTCCTGATTTCTGCGAATAGGGGAATGTGGGGAAAGGGGGCAGGAACCCCTTGATTTTTATTTTAGTTGGGGTGGGGGCTATAATTGCAATATACTATTTGGAAACAGCACTTCTGAACAGAGCTAGCTTTGTTAGGCAAACACACGGGGCATTGACCCTCTCAAGAAGTTGGAAACGGACAGATCAGGTATCTGTGGTGCTACTTCTGGCACCTCCACATGCGGCTAGCAGGGAAAACTGGGAAAACAAACAGCTGGTTCTTTCACACCGCTGTGGCAACACAGGCGCCCTTGGTGGGAACAGGGAGGCTGAGAAAATGTCTCTGAGAATTTGCCAGGATAAACCGTAACTGGGTGTGGATCTTCCGCCCCTTGGCATCCAAGGAGCCGCTTGGCGAACCGTTACAGGCCGAGGACGTTTAACGCAGGTACGTAGAAGGGAGGGCCTGTTTGGTCTTCGGGGGGAGCAGCGATGTGTTAAGTCTGTGCTTTGTTCAGAAGCCTCTGAATCATGTTACGTTAGTCAGAAAAGGTGCAGGAATTGGTCCCCCTCCCGACTCTTTCAGCCTTGAATTCACAGCAGAAACCAGAGGCAATTCTGATCATCCTTTTGGGGGACTATGACACAACTTGGGTGTTAAAGAAAAACTCTTTGTATTGTAATTCCAATAAAAAAGACATTGAGACTCTGAAAAGAGTGCAGAGAAGAGCAACAAAGATGATTTGGAGACTAGAGGCTAAAACATATGATGAACGGTTGCAGGAACTGGACATGGCTAGTCTAGTGAAGAGAAGGACCAGGGGAGACAGGATAGCAGTCTTCCAGTATTTGAGGGGCTGCCACAGAGAGGAGGGAGGGTCAAACTATTTCCCAAAGCACCCGAAGGCCAGACAAGGAAATAAGGGACAGAAACTGACCAAGGAGAGATTCAACCTGGAAATAAGGAGGAATTTTCTGACAGTGAGAGCCATCAACCTATGGAACAGAAGTTGCCTTCAGAAGTTGTGGGAGCTTCACCCCTGGAGGCTTTCAAGAAGGGACTGGACTGCCATCTGTCAGAAAGGGTGTAGGGTTTCCTGCTTGGGCGGGGGGTTGGACTGGATGACCTACAAGGTCCCTTCCAACTCTGATAATCTG